AAAATGACGGTGACGTCATTATTCGAACGTAATTCACCCTGTATACGGGTGTATAATTCACCCTGTAAATACGGTAAATTAACATCAAAAATCGACGTGTTTCAGGATTATTTCTTAAAATGACCTGTTTACCTAAAAATGAATTTGTTCCATACTTTACGGACACAGTGTATATTTTAGTAAAGGGCATCGTCTAGGATAAAATGATAATAATATGATAAATGATTTCTTTCTCGAAGAAAAATATGTCTGTTTTTATGTACAACTCACGAATTTTGAGAATAAATCTCACTACACTTCTGTGAATAAGAGATTCATTCGATGTATACTTCTCTTGTTCTATTATAGTCAATCAAATACAATGCAATGGACTTCTCTCAACAGAGTAAAACATTATAGTACCTAGTTATAGAAAGAACGTCTTCACGTTCCTCCGGCTGAAACTCTTTCATTTAATTTCAGTTGTTCATTGAGTTGACATTTCGTGGGATTATTTGCTAAAGTGAGTTCGTTTCATGAAATCCTGGGAATTTAATGAACACCCTGGGGTTTCACTAGGTGCATTGCATATGACACTAATTAGAGTGGCATCAGACCGGTGCGAAATAAAGCTTTAGTTCTTTTATATGAATTTTAATTTTCTGCTGGATTCATTCTAATTCTCCTCTGTGATGAGATTTTTCGAATTCATTGAAGTTAACAAATGATATGCAGGTTAATGATTGGAATATTGAAAATGATACGTATAAATGAAAATACGTTCAATAAATGTGGTGTACCGAGTGTGATATAATTCATGAGTCGATGAACAAAAAAAAGGTGACATAAATCAGATTTAACAGATAGCGTTTCCTTCACATGTGAAATCATTTTAATATATTTAATGTTCAACAAACGAAAACAAACGACTATGGTATTTCAAATTTTGTTAAATAAAATGGATAAGATGTAATGAGCAGACTTACTCACATAATGCACTATCTTGCACCTTTCTACAATTCTACTAACGATCTGCCACGTCCTCGCACGGGGGCAATTCAAATTTGTAATTTCATAAACATTTAAGCTCTTTACATTCATTGCAACTGATCGAAAGATCGGATTCCAATATTGTGAACATACATTTTCATGATTATGATTTCGATTATGAAACTATTCAGTTGAATACGGATCAATAACAAGATACAAATATCATAACCTTTCGATTCTCTCCATGTTTTGTTTGATCAATTTGAACAGATAGTGGTTACTGTGAATCAATTCCAGTCACTTAATGTATTGATATAGGGATATTGACTAAGGGCGATGACATCTATGGGATGTCATTTAAGTGATCGTCAGATAACTCAACCCTCGAATATCAAAGACAAACGAGGGTCTCCAAGCAGGGGAATTGCAAAGTTCAGCTTCAACATTGACTGCCAACGAGAGTTGTCCCCTGTGTTTGACTACAGCTTTCACTGAAAGGCAACTGATTGTTATCTAGAGCCTAAACACATTGCATTTATAATTCAACATCAGATAGCGCTGTTTTGACCCGCCACATGGCTGACCGCCTTGGGGACCCTCTTCCATCTTTGATATTCGAAGATTCAGTTCGCTATCGATCCCCATAGATGGTGTCTACGAAGATAATTGTGTTGAACTATAAATGCGTGAAGGTCCGAGTGAGCCCAAATAAAACTCAAGTAATAATAATGGGAAGAACGATATCTTCTCCGGTAATGAAAGTGGGGGTCTCTGGAAAGGACCGTAGGGTCACCTAGACCCCACCAATCGAGAGCGTGAGGACAAAAATACAGGAACGGATCCTCCCATTAATCTAAAGTCCAAACTGGATTTTGCAAAAATAACATCAATTCACAACACGATGTTCCAGGCGTCTGGGGGCAAACGGCTCCGACAAACCTCTCCAGGTTGCAGAGATTGCAGTTATCACGGATGATAGTAGATACTTAATGGTTCATGTGGAATGAAGACATCTGTAGAGATTTTTAGCTGCCTACTATTCAGCAGTCCATTCAGTTGAGGAATCGGCAAGTCATTGATTGTGCCGAAAATCATGAAAATCCGTTAGGGAAGCTATGGATTACACCGTAGACGACCCCTCCCGATATAGAAGACCCAGACACTCTGTCGAATGAGGCCCTCATGTCCTCCGTTAGAAGATGAACAATATCTTCATCCAAACACCCCAGCCAGGTAGGGGTTCAC